TATAGATATATTCTGCCTCAAATGATGAGACTGATGACGAGACTGAAGGGACATTTTCTCGATTTTACGTTGTATTTTTCAATGTAATATCGTACAATACTTGTTCATTTAAAGATGAATCGGCAATCTGATGGCACACTTTCATTAAATGTGATTTATGCATAGTCTAAATTTGAAAACTAATGAAATTTAAATTTAATTGTATTGCAGGGTTGAAAACATAATCTTCCTATAATGAAAATACATAATGTGAAAGGTAAGAATTAGTTTGGGTATGTTTTAATAAAACCATGATGAACATATACACAGACCTGTACTGAGTAAGACTCATGTGGAACTCGTTGTAAACTGACATTAAAAAAGAGTCTAAATGAAGTTAATTTGTATATTTTTAATAACATATTTTAATGTAATTTTCAGGCACGTTGACTTGAAAGAGCTCGTGGACAGCCAAAACAAGATGGCGACATGTCAGGCAAGCTTCCATTTTATTGGATATGAAATGCACAGACAGTTGCGGACATGGTAAGCATTCGACCAAATCTAGATTTTTCCAAGAAAGTGATGATCTTAAACACAGACCTGTTCTGAGTTAAGCCATGTAGATTTGTATTTATTAAGCTGATATCTATAAAGTAATTAAAAGTGATTGTCTTTTAGCAATTTATATTAAATATGTTTAAAATTGTTCTATTTGCAGATTTTATGACCTAAGTGAGGTTATATTGAAGACCAATAAGTTTACTTGGCTTGATGCAAGGTAAATATCCAAAGCTTTTAAATCCACGTGTTTTATATTTATACAAAAATTCAACAAAATGATGATTATTTCAATTACCTTTTGCGGTTTCCACCAGAAAGCATTTGCTTAAAGATGGCCTTAGGCGTCTGATTCAATCCTTTTATATCAATATTGTATTTATGTAGACATTACCATTCTAATGCCAATCTTTGTTTTTTTAATTTCAGAAATTTGCGCCAGGGTAGAAAAGGGCCTATATATTGTATTGCTAATACAAATAATTGTCTTAATAAAATGATATTAACAATTATAATAATTGTGTCTTTTCTTTAATGTAAAATTCCTTTATGTACAAATTAAGCTGGGTTCAATGTTCCGGAATGATCGATCGCCTACGTACGTAGTTTTATAAATTCACACATTTGCGTTTGGTTTTTGGGATAGATCACATTGCGATGTATGCGTGTTTAATATACAATCTCTAGTTAGTGGTACAATGTAGGTATATAGCTACGATCATAAAAGTAGTGC